CTTTTGAGAGTGAAAAAATGTCCGTAATGCCCAGCAGCCTGGTCTTTTGTTCCGAGTACAGTCTTTTGTTACAAGGCCCTGTTCCCTTTGTCCGAGTTTGGAGACCCCGGCCACGCATATAAAGCATATTGTCCGGATCCGGAGTTCCCGGCAGGAAGTGGTTAATGCCTTGATTATTTAAATGGTCACATGCATGAAATTTTAGTGGTCTATATTTGTAAATATTAATGTTTGTTGTGTTTGTCAATTTTACTTTTCGTCGTGAGATTCTAACTATTTTATTAATTTCTAATGATCGCAGGGCCCCAATGGAAACCAGTTTGTAACTGTTTGGGCATACCCTGGGTAAAAAAATGGAATAAATAAATAAATACCTTAGACAGTCTCCCTACTCAACAACGTGCAACTTGACCGTGTATAAACATTTGATAATGCCCGCTGAGAAGTGATAATTCCTGCTGCGTAAAGCACAAACTGGCACCTGGATACGAGATGAGGTTAATCGATTCTGATTGGTGAAGAGTCTGTGTGCATGCCGCTCGCCACGTGTGAGTCAAGGAGATTCTGTTGAACAACTTGCGCTAGGAATATACATGTACCATAAAACGAACGGGGGGTGTTTGTGCAAATGGAAGTAAAGTTCTAGAACAAAATTGTTTGAAATGCATCATAACGGCATATCAACTTCTTTTGACTAACTAAAAAAGGTATGTATAAATGGGAATATATATGTGCTTAGGGCCGGCGACCATTTAGACCTGGTTTGAAAAGGCCCCCCCCCCGGTAAGCTCGCCCTGTTGCAAAAACCCCTTTCATACCGGCCTGGTTACCGACCTGGGATGCTAGACTGGATGTTGATCTCGAACTTCTCCATCCTTGGGTCTATTGCTTGCAAGTACTGGGGGAAGCCCTTCATCAGGGACTTTGAAATGCTGATGTACAGACAGGCCTGATACCGGCCTGGAGTAGCCTGAATACCAGGCAGGCATCATACAGGGTGGGCTACGGGGGGGGGGGCACTTTTCAAACCGGGTCTAAATAGTCGCCGGCCCTTAGGTAAGACCAGCTCAGTAGACTGAATGCTGATAATGATAACTAGTTATATCCATGCTAAGCTCATACATGTACATGTACACATTTATTACCTTATTGAAATACCACTTTGCTTTGAAATTATTCCCTAAGAGTTGTATCAAGGATATTTACCTGGGGCTTATCCTACACGCGAATTCGTAGGGATTTTAATGACACATACTGGTAACTGTACATCATTGACATAGAAGGATTGCATGTAGGTTACAGGAATTTCACCAGATTTCTCAACACCTACATGTAACAGTAGTGTGTTGGCAACAGTTGGTGAAATAACCTGATTTTCTTGGAAAGCTAACCTAAGACGTTCACGAGGGCCATTTTACCAGAGGGGGTGTGATTCCCAGGATTTGCTCAGATTTTGTTGTTTCAGACCTGCTAGGTGTTGAATTTGGAAGTTTACTTTTAATATCGGGGTTTTGGTACCTCCCAGCACTTTGTACAGAAAACATTCCAAATGTAACCATCTATAACAGAGCTCAAATGCCTGGACATATGGGGGTTTTAATGTTGCAACCCTCGTGCAGATCACATGCATTGAAAAATACAAGATGTTTGTAACATACACATAGGATTTTTTAAAAATTACATCAATGCTTTGTTTTCTCTCTGCCCTGGAGTTGTATCTTGTCAGTCGTTAGATGCCAAGGGTAGCAAATAACAGCAGCCTCCTGATGACACACACTGGCTCGAGGCCGACTTCACAAACAGTTGACAAACACTAAAATTAATAGCAAATGTATTAGTACTTCATTCAACTACATAATTGGTGATCCCTCTTCCCTGTCATTCTTGCCGGACTTCTTCGTAGAACCCAAATTTGTCGACACGATTAAAATGTGCAGCATCCAAATGCTGCTAAATCACTGTTTTTTCACAATGATATTAGAGGAAATTACCAAGAAAATGATAAAGACTGTCATCATCTCAAGCTTCCATTCATTTCCACCCACGTTTCTTTCCACGATCTCTCCCCTTCCCTGGTAACCGGTCATGTCCGCATGGGCAATTCTCAGGTACTGCTTACCAGTGACGGGGTCAAGAAGATTCTGGGCCTCATTTTGGCGTTTGGCAACTACATGAATGGAGGCAACAGGACCAGGGGACAGGCGGACGGATTTGGTCTGGACATACTGGCCAAGCTGAAAGATGTCAAGAGCATGGTAAGAATTGCCGACCAGAGTCACAATGGGAAGACATTACATCTACAGCCTTATGTACTGAATCACCTGATAGTATTCCGCTCACCATTCCATTTTTGGAGGAATTGACAAAACTTCTTTTCATCATATGAACAGAGTGCAGTTCTAGTTTCCAACTACATTCCTTTCCGAGGTTCATGCTTTGTAAATTTTATTTTTTAAAACTGTACCTTCGTGTTTCTAATTTGTGGATGTTGTTGGGGATTGACAGATATCAAATTGTCAGTTGCACCATGAACTGACCTATCTTGTACACAAAGTCTATGTATGATACATCACTTATTGAAGTGTGCACTTACGTATAGAGATACATGTACTTTGCTCTGTGGCATGACGGACAAAATATAAATCATCTGTGATGAGTCTTGGTATCAGGGTGGGTCCAAAGGGAGCTCTGGGCAGTCCTATGTCTTAAAAAGGGAAACCCATGGAGTATTTTTTTGAAGAGTGTCTTACAAATAGGATGCTGTGTATCCTGTGTACATGTAGTTGTTTGGGGAAGTGTCTTAGTGCTGTTGTAAGGTTTTAACCCTTGAAAATGCGAATAGAGTTCTTTTTTTCACATCTGAAAATGGGACGAAGGAGGAGTTGTATTTCCCCCTCTAGTTGCCACATCTTGTGAAGAACTTGCAGTTTAGAGTTTTTATCCGCGTACTCTAAGACAAAAAGAAATGTGAAAGTTTGTAAGAGGTTAGTTTACTTCTATGCAGAGCAGTTCACATCCACAATAAATACAAGTTCCTGCTTACAGACATACCTTTTGAGACAATTCCCCTAATCTATTACTCTGCCTTCGATGCATTCACCATGTCAGCTTTCTCTGCTTTGTTACCATTGGAACAGGATAACAAGATTTCCCTGCTGCAGTATATTGTTACCTACTATGTGGAGAAAGTGGATGAGGTAAGGTGTCCCCTGCAGGGAGGTGTTGATACATGGGAAAGTGGAGCAGAACAATCTATATCATGGACATAATTATATGAGCAAATGTGTCTGACATGCAAGATGTGCAGGGCAAAATTCTTCTCTTGAAAACCTGCAGTGTTGTATTTTGTAGGAAATGAAGAAATTCTTCTTTGGGCCTGAAGTTTTTGGTCCTATCAGATCTTTTCAAAGGCTTATTAAAGAGAAAGTCTGCCACAATAGACCTAAAACATAGTATGCACTTTCCTATGGGGACTTGATGGATCGCAAGCCATCTCTCTGCCATAGGAAACCACTCGTCAACAAAGCATAATGTCATTCTGTCACAAGTCTATTGAAATGTCAGGCCCTACCAACTTTCTGGATTTAATGGAAAACCACTCAAAAGGTGATATTTCTGTAAACTTATGCCACCCATGCAAGTTGTAGGTAGAATGAGAGCGGTGTATTGCAGGCAATGTGAGAGGAGTCTGTAGATATCATTGTAGCTTGCAAGCCTTGAGGCAGCTTAGACAGAAGGACTCAAGGAAATACACGGTTTCCGAGGTTGTAGAATTAAAAACTTGCAGTTGATGTTAAATATACTGGCAGAGATGGAGATTGTAAAGCGACAAAAAATCATAAATCGGCCAGTGTATGATTTGATCCAAGGCCTTAAGTTGAATGTAAATGTACCACCACACCAAAGTGACTGCCTCTTTTTAACGTTCCAGTTTTCAGTGGCCCCCACACATGACAACTCGTGGTGCATTGCAGGACAGTATTCAGCACAATATCGACTGCAGTTCAAAAGTAGCTTGTTTGAGGCAGACGCTTGGTGGTGCACTTTCCTTGTGAAGTCTGTTCACCTTCTCAACTCAAACATCTGTTTTCTATTCGGCAGCATTCTGGAACAGAGCAAGCACGCTTCCCCTTGCCGGAGCCCAGTAAGATCAACCAGGCTACTCTGGTGAAGTTTGAAGATCTCACCAAGGACCTTGGCAAAATCAAGCGGGATTTAAAAGGCATCTGTTATCTTATCATCCACTTCGCGGTTACGGTGTCAAATGTCAATCCTAATATTTTCTAATGTTTTGAACTGAAACTTTTGGGAGATATTTACCCTAATACTTCACCCAGGGTTGGTTTTGAACTTACTAGTTCTGGCTTGAGTCCAATTCAAGTCAAAAGATTTGAATCTGGAACTAGGGTCCAGCTCTCAATCTTTAATTATTATCTTTAATGTTAGCAGTATCACGTTTATGTATTTTAATCCTGAGAACCTTCATGAGAGAACCTTTTTGAATCCTCCAAAATTCAGTAGTGTGCGAAATACTACTGATGATGCACTCTTTGCCCTCAACTACTTTGGGGCACTGAGCCCCATAATAAACGGAGACTGGGCTCTAGCTTGATCGTCCCCTGAGAATCTTCGGCAACCTTTCAGTGGATTTTGATGGATTCAGGAGGATGAAAATAATGAAAAACTGTTATTACAGTTATTGCATTTTTCTACCACGTGGTATTAGTATCCCCTTTAAAAAATTGGTAGTCTGTACTGCACAATTAAACATTCATCAGAGCCTGGTGAGGAAATTCTCCTTGATGAAGTTTATCTTGGGATTTCCTCCTCAGGTTGTGAGGGGAAAATGGTCAAGGTCTTGAAAACTTCAGCCGAGGAGCATCTCCAGCCCTTCAAGGACAAGATGGAAGCCTTCTTGGAGCACGCAAAAGAGGAGGTTGGCACCACGGAGGATAAACTTCGAGAAACCATTTCAAAGTGAGTCTTAAAGTCTCTAAGATCAACGATAGTTTTCAGGAGCAAATATGGCCACTCAACTACAGTTGACATAGTGCAAACACATTTCCACATCTACATGTAGGTGGTCAAGTGATACGTTCACATCAATAGCAGGAATGGCTTTGAGCTCCAATCCTATTCATTTGTAGCATCAAATGCTCCTTGTTTCCTAGCAGCACATTTAATGCAAGTAACTTGTGCCAGCCTTCACACCACCATTAACTGCTCCCAAGTTTTATCAATCTTAATACCGTTAGTCTTAGCCATTCGCACTGCACTTCCTGGTTCAAAATGACATCACACTTTGTGGTACTCTTTTGACTTATATACAACTCCAAGCCATGGCTATGTCACTTGGACCCTATCATAGATTACGTACACATCACCAAGTAGTCTACACGAAAGTGGACATTCTGTTTATACTGAGTAGTGGGAAAGTACCGAATGTATTTTTCATTGATTTTTCCCCTGCAGGTTTGATTTCCTGGCCTCGTCGTACTGTGTCAAGCCCAAGTCGAGCGAGGAGCTCACCCCCAGCTACCTGTTTGGTCTCTGGGCCCCGCTGTGCCGAGACTTCAAAGATCTCTGGAAGAAGGAACAACAAGGAGTAGCCAAACGGAGGTGGGTTGCAACTTGAGCTGCATGCGTCAGCAGTTGAAATTGATTCTCAAGATACTCCAAGATTTGTGAAGGATTTCCAAAATGATTACCTGATCATTATTCCAAACTGTATTGTAAACAGTTTCGTTGATATGCCAGTAATGTTGATTTCATCACATCTGAAGTTTTGCTTTTGCGAGATGGGCATTCATTCAGTGGGTACTTTATCCCTAACCCTACGTAATACTACAAATTACTACTTGTAGTAAAATGAAGTATTGAGCGCTGTCGCTTGTAAGAAGACGTGGCCTTATTGTTTCCACAAGCCGTAAAATACAATAGATAAGATAATGTACCATACAGTGCTGTGGCAATATGAATGCATGGCTTTATTGTTCTCTGTATGAGTAACGATGGAAGTAACCTAGCCAGAAGTAGTAATCTGTAGCGCTAGGTCCTTCAGGCTCAGACTATTACTTAATATTTTGTAGTACCGTGTAGTGTAAGCTAAACAAAATGCTTGGCGATCAGGGTTAAAACAAAAACTCAAAACTTAGACATGACTTACACTGTATTCCACATGCACATTTACAGACAGGCATATCATTACAATATATTCATAGGAATTCACTGAATTGGGTCCAAATGGTGCTGATGTATGGATATGCAACATACATACATAATGAGAGTAAAATAATTAGGGACCACTGGGAAATGTAGTGAAAGACTGCTGCAGAAGGCACTGCTCCTATTGTAAGATATATTTGCAGTTCCGCGTCGCCAGCTTCGGGCGGGAACTATTTCCATATATTGCTGAGTAGCTATACTTTGATTGTGCGCAATGTAATTTTTTGCAGTTCCACGTCACCAGCTTTGGGCGGGAACAACCTGAACTTGTATCAAATTGAATAAACGGCTGCTCAGGTTAAAAAGTGCCCAGATGTTATCTTTCGATATTAAAATAGATCCTTGATTTGGCTTTTTATTGCTGAATCAGTCGACTTCCCTGAGGATCGTCCAAAGCCTGATTGATTTATGGTTTGTTGCCGTCTGTCCTTCTCTGTCTGACATCACCTCAAGTTCCTTGCCTTATTTTCAATGGACTGTACCAGGTTGCGAGAGGCGCAGGAGAAAGTGAAACAAAAGCAGGAAGAGAAGAGGAGCTCTGTTATTGTCAAGAAGGGAAGCAAGAAGGCTGGGGGCCTGGTAAGACATTTATCTGCTTTGAGCAGAGCCCCACCCTCATCAGTTCATTTTGTTGGTAGCGATGGGACCAAAACATGCGTTTCGTAATCATTTGTGGACCAGCAAAGTACAGTTCCCATCAAGGAAAATGGTGCTAGGAAAATGGTGTCCTCTCTTGGTCCCACTTGCGGTGGATAGGTATGCCAGTGTGATCATTATGCATCCTTGTATCTGTTATTCCGACAGAATGACTTGTAATGATCATAAGGGCAAACATGGTTGCGTCTAAAATGGTAGTTTCGAGTTATGTTCATTCCAGGGAGTTAATACTTGTAGGTGAGTTTCGGGAATGTCAGTGTGCTTTATAAACCTATATCATCGTTACTGTTATTATATTTAATGAATACTCATTAATTTTTTCTCAACTGCTTTCTTTTTTAACAGAAAGCCAAGTTAGCAGCCAAAGCAAGCACAGCAAGTAAAACATAGCACTCCTAAAGCAAGGTTGCTGGTACATCACAGAACCTAAGGTCTAGTGAGTATGTGCCTCATGGTGTTACAGAATTCTCCTCCGCCATGTGAAGTCAAGATGTTTGTCAATTGTGTGCAGCAGAATTGTTGTCCCAGTGTGTGGTACACTTGGAAATGGGGGGAGGGGGCATTCTATTAGGCCCACCCGGCTCTGTTGCCGTCTGTTGGACCCACCTGGCTATGTTGCCGTCCCTCTGCATCTTCTGTGGTTGTATGGGTAACAATTGCCACACAGTGATGACTTAATAGTCTAGTTTCCCTTTGTCTTTCAGGAAGAGATTCAAGTTTAAGTACTTATTCCAAGTTATTTGTTTCTGGTTGTGAGTCGACAGTTGTGAGGGATTCTGTGTCTTTGTATTGAGTAACTTGTATTTGAGTTTTTGATTTCCATGTTTTGCTTGTTTTCTATGCAAACATATCTATTGTATAAAAGCAGGTGTATTGTTTGACGGTAACACATAGTTAGGATTGGACCACCTTTTTGGCCGACTCAATCATACATGCCAAAGTTTGGCCAGAAATGACAGCCTGCATGCTGTCTTGTGATAGCTTTTAAGTTACAATGGTCTGTTGAATGAATACTTTTTAGTTAGGAACCCTAGTTCAAGAAGATATATAGTGCAATTTTTTTTTAAATAGAAGCTTCTATAATCATGCAGGAACAAAAGATATGCAGTACACACAAAATTTTCTGTCTAAAGGTATTTGGTCAAAGTGTATGCCATCCACTTGGAAATTTATCCTGGAAAAAGCTTGCCTGAAAGTTACCCTTAACTGACTTGAAAACCCCCTGTACTTTCTAGTGCAGTGTTTCCACATGGAAATGTGTTGTCCGTTGTTGTCGCTCAATATAACAATCGGTTTGGGGTGATGTCGTTGAACACGTGCTCAGTACTTTACATGGATGATACTTGTACTATTTTGAAGTGGTCTGCAAGTCGGCAGTGAATGAAAAACAAGGAAGAAGTTCTCAGTCAGTGGGTTTTGATTTGAACTTGAGCTCCAAGTTCATGTTAGTCATCAAAAGTGTTTAATATCAGCAAGAACCATTGGCATAGTCGGGCTCTTCTCAGAGGGGGGCGGTTAAAGGGTAACATGGCAATTTTTTGGGGGGGGGGTGGAATTCAATTTGATCCAGGTCCTGAAATAGGTGTTTTTCCACACTGAACATGTATCAGCACTCAACAGGTGGCATAATGAAAGCCTCCCCTCTCCCAAATTATATTTTTATAATAATAAACATGCCACTAGCAAGAACATACATGTACATGCAAGTGCAGTTTACATTCCCACTATGGTTGGTTTGTTAGATTAGAATGGCCATTGACTAGTAGTTTGTATTCCTCTTGGTCTTTCGCTGCATATTTCAAGTCACATATTCTTTTTGTTCCCATTATAATCCAAAAATATATAACCCCAGAGTATGAACATTGTGCATTGAACCATTGTTGTCATTGTAGTCAAGATTATACTTAAATACGTTGTATATCACATATACAGAGTTAAAGAACAAAACCATTGCTTTATATGTAACAAAAATTCAACTGGGCTACATTTAAGCGTGCATTCATCAAACATCTCTTTAAGCAAAATAAGATATTGTATTTTTCAACTCAAATCGTAACTAGCGTTTTTTTTCCTTTTGTATGTTTTATTTTTATATATTTTTTTTTACCAAGGATTAACATTCCATCCGTATTTTATAGGAATAGTTTGTGTAGTATTGTCTCTCTGTTGAGATCCACATTTTGTATCGCGGGAAATGTACTTGTACTTGTGAGCAATAAGTGTTTGTACTGTCCATGATGTAGGCTTTTGCACAGCAATACCCTTCAAATGCTGCAATTTAAAAATCTGAATATTCCTATGAAGTTGAGAGTCCACTATACCGATTCGAGACAAAATATCACGTGTCTGGTGAATGTCTTGCCTCGGACCTTCCTTCCTATCATCTACCTATGACATCAGAGCCCTCTGTCCTTAACCACTTTGAAATGGTGTTCCACAAGGAACTTGTCCCAGGCATGGTATTTTTCTTCGTTGAAAATCCATTTACCAACCTTTTAAAAAAACGAAACAATTCTGCAACCACAGTCCCTGTACAAAGTTTGAGCTTACCAAATTCTGACAATTGGTGGTTGCTTGATCCAGATTTCTGCTATGTGTGACATTTCCTTCTGCACTGTTGTTTTTTTTTATACACCTCGAGAGAATGCGACATAGTGATATATGCTACAGTACCCAGCTGTGGTACATAGATGCTTGAGGGTTATGTGTGGTACACCGCCATAGAGTAGTTAAGGACTCTCTGTATGTATGAAAACAAAAGGAATCACTCAAGCATGGGAACAAGTAGAAATATTGTCCACGACTGCATCCAGAAAGTACCATGGCTTGTTTAAAAGTTCCTTTTGTGACTGACTCAGAAACTCCCTTGCATGTCCACATGTCGTTGGGTATAAGCCATTATTAAACTGTGGTTTAGGGGTAATCATTTCCCCACTTGTATCTGGCCCAAACAGGCTCCCTCGGAGAAAGTCTCATCAGTTACATCAGACATCTTTGAGATTCCTTATTTGCCCCCCTTCCAACTTTCATCACCTGTGACTTCCAAATTAAGTATAACAGTACTCATTCCTTAAAAACTGTGGTTTTGAAGAAGTTATTCCCCAGTGTGTATCTTGTGCATATTGGCTATATCTCTGTGGGGAAAATGTCTCCTCAAATTGTTTATTAAATATTTTATGTTTCTGAATCGCAACTCCAATGGACTGAAGAGTGAACACCCCCCCAGCAGCTGGCACATCCAATAACTCTCTAGCCACTCCATTCACGCAAACCTCATATCCCAGGGAGTAAAATTTATGTCAGTTTGGGCCATTTCCATCAATATTTGTATGACCATTTCATGCATGGGTTAGAGCCGACAGTCTGATGTTAGCCAGCCCTGGGAATGCCACCTGTCATATTTTCCCTCTGCCGGGCAAGGACGTTAGATGTGTTACAGCCCTCCAGTGTGCTGTGGTAGAGTCACCATGTCTGGCCTGCCAATTGTCACTTGTGGAAGGGCTTGTCTGAGTAGTAGCAATAATGGCTTGTCGGCTTGTAGGTGGAAGGGCGGCATGTTTCAATGGTGTTAATTGGATAATTTGAAAGTATTTCATTTTTTTATGAGGGTTGTGATTTCATGGATTACTGTTGAGCTTCCCCTTGACGCCCAACCTAATCTGGTTGGAAAATGCTGTGTCCAAATGCTTTTAGAATTTGGCCCACTTAAGTAGGGTTACAGTGATGAAAAAGTATTCATATGTATGTACTATTAGAAATCCAGATCAGTTTCATTCATGACAGGACTTATTATCATTAGAGCTTTTTCTGTCTGTGGGCAAAAAGGGTTCCCTTGTTTTTTCTTCAGACTTCTATAAAAGTCATGTCACCATGGTGTTGAAATAACTCCAGCCAACTACATGTTTTTAGTCTTTTGTTTCTGAAAAACAACATACAAAATACATTACCTGAATAAGGTTCTAGATGTTTGGGGGGATGAGTATTGATGGGAGGGGGTGGGGAAAGCCTGGAAACTAAGCAAAAAATTTTAAATGAAAAAAAGGGAAAGAAAAGAAACAGAAAAGAAGAAAGAAACATGAAAACTGCCAGTGTCTGATAAAAGTACCTTGGAAACACCCCCTTAGTCTGCTTTGTTGACTGCTTTGCTCCCTCCCCCTTAAGTGAGCCACTCCCAAATCCTGGCTGCGCCCTTGGTTTGGGGTAAAGCTCAGAATGGAAGCTTATTTTGTGGTCCCTTAAACAGAAGAAAGCACCAAGTTATGCTTATTTTTTTGTAGTCCTTTGATGGAGGAGACATCTGCCAAGTAGTCACCGAGGAATTTCCCACCTTTTGTTCCACGCTTCTCAGCCTGTCCTCTAAACAGCTGCCCATCACTTATCACAAATAGTTGTAAAAATATCCATTTTCCTGCCCCCCCCCACACACACAAAACAAAAATGATAGATTGTGCACTGGTGGTCCCGGGTTATACATTCAGTTATACCAGGGTTCTGTTGCATGCACGCTTTTTTAGTGATTTAGTGTCCGGTGGCTGTTTTGATACCATTGTCTTAAATCAACCAGCTACTGATTTTGATATTCTTTGATAGGCCATTCATTTCCACGGTTTCTACTGAGAATAGAATTGTTGCCCTGTCTTGTACTTTGTATAAAAGACGCAATGTTTTTGCTAAGCAAGGATCATTTGTTGTGATAAAAGTTCAGCTGCTGAGTTGACAGGAGCAGTGCAACTTCATATGTCCTTGCAGGTATCCATTGAATTTGTAATTCCCTGCCTCAGGGAGAGTGTAAATGTTCAAAAGCAGGGTCAAGCGGAAAATGTTCCTGCTGAGGGTTTTGCCTGAGAAAAACTGAGCAGTCATCTCCCCTAAACTATCCAGGATTTCTTAATTTTTCTGTATAAACGCCAGCTTTAAGCAAATGTGAACTTAATGAGGAACATGAACATTGGCCAGTTGATCGGATTAGCCGAGAAGGCCCTACTCTGATGTGTGACGGTCGTCATACAGAGGTTGATAAATGGATTTGCTTCAAGTATCTTAACTGCCTGTTCTACAGAGCCATGGTAATACATTGCTTGCGGTTGGGTTCTCAGTTGAACTGTTGCTTAAAAGTTTACTTTTCAGTATTCTGTAGTGAGGCACTTAGTGAAGTCAGGCTCTGGGTGCATGTCTTACCGGCTTTGTATTGTAATCAGCTCCACGTAGTTAATAATGCCAGGTAGTAGTTTCTAAACTGAAAGTTACTGTTTCTGAAGCATTGCCAAAGAATGGTAAATATTTTAATGACTTATTTCAGATGGTATTTGTACTGGGAAAAAAAAATGCTTTGAAACACAACAAAGTCACCGCATGCATTTTTGTTCCCAGAAATTCTTGTGGCACTAGCAGTGCTGGCCTCTTGTCCAAAAGTTTCACCAGTACTTTCAAGAAATTTTAAAAAAGGAGAGGAAAAAAAAAAAAGATTTGACATACACGGCCACTTCAACCAAAGGCCTTCCCATGTCTGGCTCCCGGTAGCTTGTCCCAGCTTTGATTATCCGACTTCCGTTAATTGAGTTGTGAAAACACTCCCAAAAGACTTGAAAGGCCGGTTCCCGACTGGTATTCCTGCCTGTTACCCCCCCCATACATGCATGTATACCTCTGGTGCTTCAGTGGTATGTAGACCGGCTTACCCTGGCGACAGTGCTGTGGCGCCGGTTTGTTTTTCTTGCAACAGTTGGCAGGTCCTTACTTTTTTCCCTGTGTCTCTCTCTCCTCTGTCTCACATACACTCGGCATTGGTTTACATCCTGAATGTTGTTATTACGGTTGTGCTGTATGATTGCAGGTACCTGGGGAATACCCAGTGGATGACTTTCAAAAGCAGTTGATGCTGGAGCGATGCCCTCTTCCCCCCCCTTAGGTTTATCAGACAGCAAATCTTTCAACTGTCGCAGTTGTTGATGAGCTTAAAGGGAAGTTGTTGGCATTCTCAGGCATCTGTGATTGGGCTCACTGGATGAGGCTGTAATAGTTCAAAATCAGTACACCCCCTTCCCTGTACATTTACCTCAGGGACGTGTGGGCAGGCCTTCACCCCATTATCATTAACGAGACAACTTCCTTTGGGACCGAGTGTTGGTTACATTTCTCTGTCCCCGCAAAATGAGTGTAATGACTTGTGTTGATCCCCACATCTACGGAACACGTATGATTGAGCTTGAGTGTCTGTACAGATCAGGCACATATATAGGGAGTACATGTACTTGCAAAATTAAACCATTTCCACAATTGACCCTGAGCCATGTTGCTTCTCATGCGCCATGCTTTTTCTTCCAAGCAATCTGAAGAACTGCATGACCTTAGCATAATGTGTTACTTGCACCATGAAATGACCTATCTTGGCAAGTACACAGTACGAACTTAGTGGTCTTGTGCACATGAAGTATATGCAGGGTAATTTACATTGTGATGTACACTCACATCACAAATGGAATGGAAAACTGCCATGTTGGGATCTTTATTATTTGCTATTGTTTGCACAAATTGGTGCCACTGGATACATGACAATACTCTAGTTTGTTACTTTGATGAGCCATGTTCCATGTTATTTCACGAATTAGGTATGTGCCCTCCCACCCTCAGGAAGAATCTACGATCTTTAACATCAACTCCACTATCTCCCTATCAGGAAATTTCTTGCAAAGAGGTTCCCCACAGAACTCAATCAACAGCAGTGAGAATTGAACCCGGGACCCATTAACCATAGTCCTAGGGAAAAAATCACCATTGCTAGTTTGATGTTCCAACCCCAAGTCTTATTGCGTTCTTTATTCAAATATTTAGTATCTTCAGATATACAATCTGGAGTATTATATGTACCATATTTGGACAGCCTATTACGTTACAATCTCGCACAATCTGACCAATCACAAGGCTTGTTCTAGCTGCCTGCAACAGATTGCATGGGTGTTACCATGTTACAGGGTGCTTTTCTTACATGTTGCAGCATATGGAGCCAAAAAAAATTCAATTACAAATATTTGATTTGCTGCGCAAAAAATCCTGACTACAAACAAAAACTAGAAGTTCTAAAACACATTTGTACCAATGGGATTTAAAATTTGTCGTTGCCAACTTGAGATATCAAAACTGAATTTTGACAAAAGTTGCTCTATCAGTATAGGAAAGGTCACTATGCCCACATGTGGTAATACTCTAGACTGATGTATACATATAAGTACACTAGTGACAAAGCATTTTAGAGAAAAGTTTACTCCAGTTCAGGGGGGGATTGTAAATCCAATGAAAATTAAAAGTATAAAAGATCAGCTGTGTTATCTGTTTAGAAGCTGTCAAAAAGACTCCTGGTAAAGTGATCAACATTCGTTCACACAGACGCCTTTCTTACACATCCCCCTGTCACCAGGACAGATGGCGTGGGCCTGGCAAAAGACATCAGTGGATTCAGAAGTGGGGGGGGGGGCAGATAGCCATTTTGCAGTCAGCTGCTTTGAAGCTTGGTAGATTTTTTTGATTAGGGGACTGGTAGTGGATTGGGCAGAGGACGGTGGAATATTGGTGGTGAAATGCACAGTTGTGCATTTATCCCTGCTCTGTATGTTGCTAATGAGGTCTGCATGTACCTGTGGTGTGCAGCACAGTGTCAGTGTTAGTCCGTAGCATGCATGATTCTCCATGGCTGCTTTAAAAGTTGAGGACTGCTTAGGCTAGTCGTCCATGATGTCTTTGCCGGTCTTGTTCCCAGCCTCCTGAGGATACTTGGACATTGCTTGATAAGATGGAAAAGACTGGTTGGGGGGATTACCATTCCATTTTCTGATGGCTTTGCCACGATGCTTGTGCTAATGTCTACATTCCCAGCCACTTCAAGAATTCATTGCTCTAACAGATTGCCTGGCCATATGATTCAGCACCACACAACTTGTACTTCTTTATGGTCCCCTTCAGCAAAGAAACATTTCGGTTTATTTCAGATGTTCACACATTTCCAGTTGAAAGATTTTTATATATCTCTGAAAATTGTATGTACTTGTCATCTGATTCACATAGTGTTTCCTTAATCCCTTATTGATGTAAACCTCACTTCTACACTCTCTACCTCGCAGACTGACCTTCCTCTAAGAATGATGGAGGAAAAATATCTAAATCTTGCGAAAGACCTTGTTGTCTGCTGTCTGCCCCCCCCTCCATGAAAAGTGTTTGGAATGGTAATGGTACTTGGGAAATCTGACTGACTTCCTCTATGTTGATTGACAAGGAAAGAATGGTTTGGGGGTAACTGACACTAAGCTGTCATCTTTACTTGAGTCATTTGTCATCGTCCATATTCCCATGTTGGCACCCACACTCGGCATTCCAACCTGGCACCCTCCAAGTTGGCACCAGTGATTAATGATGCATCCTTATTTCATTTTTATGTTTTTTTTGGGGGGGGGAGGAGTTACTGGTCATGCAGTTGTTCATGTTGGTTGCACTTTTGTTGCTCTGCAATTTTCTGTTTCGTGGACAGATTGATACAAGCTTGTCATGATTGCTACTCTTACAAAATTTGGACACTACCAGATTGATCACAGGTCCCGCGTGGTTTGCAATTTTTTTTATGGAGGGGGCGAAACTTGATCAACTCTTCGTATACTTACGTTGTCTTTGCTATGTTCATTTTATTGCTGGGTTTGGATGAATTGATAGATTAACCTCTGTGCTCTTGATGTGGAGTTGAAAAATTTGAAATGGCAGTTATTTCACTGAATAGTTTGAGCAGTGCAGCTGCCATTGTTGGAGACTTCATAAATGTATCTGTTAGGATTGGGGGATTGTTGAGTTTCGTGAAGTTACAGTAAATCCATTTTCACATTCACTTTTACACTTGCAGTGATCATGGGATTGGATGACTAATAAACAATACATGGGGGGCAGACCAGTCAAACATAGTTTTAGGGTTTTTTCTTTCAAACTGTTGTAAGATTGCAGATCATTAACTCAAATCTAGCCTCACCTTTTTTATTCAAATGTGGGCATTCTTTTCAGTGTGCAGATAGAGTTCACAATTTTTTCTATGAAAACTTACTTCGCAGAATTAAATGCTCAAAGAGGTTTAGGGGCATGTGGCTGCTAGCCACATTTTTTAACCTGAAAAAAGGATTAACTCTAGGTGCCAGAGATACTCTTATTTTAAGGTAAAATAAGAGTTTTTCCTTATTCAATTCTTATTTTATTAGAATGATCGATGTTTTAAGTGTTTATTTTGAATAATGTCAAACAAACTCAAATACAAATACAACTTAACTGAAACCACATGGGGTTTGTTGCACAACTTCATCCTCGAAGTCGGGCATTCGGGAACTTCCGTACATTATTGAATAGCACAAAGTTGAAGGGTAAAGTTGCCTCTTTGCTGTGTGTTAGAAGTCCATTGTGACGTCACGCTGACGGTGAGAATATTGCCACATTGTATCCATTACTCAAATCATGTTAGGTAATATTAGACCCTAATATGTGCCCTCCCTTTGGTCGGACATCCTGGAACTTCTGTACATTATTGAATTGCATGAAGGGTAAATTTGTCCCTTTGCTGTGTGTTAAAAGTCCGTAGTGACGTCATGACGACCGAGGGAATACATCTGTCTTGGATACTGTCCGTTTATCACATGACAGGCCGATATATCCACATCATCTTTCTGCCAACAGTGAGTGCACGCGCATGTGCACTTGCGCGAGACTGCAGAGCTTTGGGATGTTCAAGAGCAAACATTCCAACTCCTTTAGTCAGTATTGCGTGGTACCCATGATACGTTTTATGCATTGGCTACCAGGGAATTTGATCAATGATTGCACTCGTATAACAGGCTGGTTCTTGTCCCTGCAGCGTATAATGTAATGGGGGGACCGCTATTAACCAGACTACTTTTACTCACTGGTACCCGCACTAGTTTCACATTAAAGTTTACACAATTAAAGTGAGGGAACAGTGCATTTGCAGATGATATCATTTACATTTGTTTATAGGTTAATTCGTACATTTTGACAGTAAGCCTATCGTCTTCTTAAAGTCAGACCTTGTTTCTTTGAATACATTCCTCAAGACAGAGGTATGACAAAGCAATTGTTGATTGCTGTGGTGTGGAATATGACGTTTTGAACACCCCTCCCTAGGGTATTCAAAACGTCATAATCCCACACCACAGCTGTCAACAATATGGACGATTCACAATAGTGCGCCTCCAAGAGTTTGCAAAATGTTGGCCAATCACAACGTGTGAAATCTGTTGACCCTTTTCAAACGTGCATTGGGTCTACAGATTTCGCACATTATGATTGGCCAACACATTGCAAACTCTTGGGGACACACTCTTGTGAATCGCCTGTATTGTTAAAATAATGTCTGCTTGTTCAGATATTCAGCGGGGATACATGTGTGATTGAGTTGAACATTTAGATCATTCCAATTCACGCGTATATGTACAGTATTATCAGTGTGGTGTTTTGAAAGATTATAATGCGTTTTATAGTTTATTCAGACAATTAACAAGTTATTTATGTGGTCAGTGTTGTCTAACAGGGTGTATTGGCAAATTCAAAAGTGTTTGTAATATTTTTGTATGCAAAGTTTAAAGAACTGTAACTTTTATGTGAGCCAAAGTATTATGTACCGAATGTGTTGATATTGTGAACCATAGATGTATATACTTGTGAAATAATTACATTGGGCAGAAGGATTTCATTATGCACATATCTTTCTTTGTGAAATATTTGTAAAGAGGCTAGTGGAAAGTTTTTCCTGTGTATTCAGAAACTGATATTGGGTACTATCTCGTTTTTCTATAATTGCTATCATGTTCATATAAGATCCATAATTATGCAGTTTGTATTTTTCTATACAGGGCAGAAAGTACTGATTCCGTGATATTTGAAACATGTTAAAATGAAAAATGCTATTAGGTCTAGTTTTTATATTTAGTTACCAGTACATGTTGAGCAAATTATCCCTTTTGGTAGTAGTAGGAGAATTGAAATTGCTGAGGGGTTTAGCAGAATGAGTTCAGTGTTACGTGTATACTTAGTATTCAGGACTTATTTTGAAACCTGAAAAAATATGAAATGTTTGTTCATATAATATTATCATTATAATAATGTGTTCTTAGTTGTGCTTTGAAGTGGCATTTCTGCCAAAGGCCTCTCAATAACCCCACCGGTTACACTCTCTGTGATCTTCGGGTTTGGAAGTCAGCCGCAGTTAATTTATGATTCTTTTAGAATGGTATTCAGTGAATTGTATATTGTGCACACGCTTTCAGATTCTTCGGTAAGAAATAAATAACAATTCCATATGAAGCAAAATGAGAGGGAAGTACAGGTACTAAAATGTAAAAGGTAACATATTTGAGCAATAAATGAAGTTCTATATAATTATCCATTTACTACAAGTACAAGCTTGTTCTCTTTGATTTTTTTTTAAATCCAAGTCCATAATGCCGAATTCTATGAGACCTGAGAGATCTGTGCTGACGTTAAAACACTGTTGACATCAAAGCAATCTGAACCCCATATTGAAGAGCGCGTCTGTTGTCTTATCCGACCCAGTTTGAGTGTTGCTGCTTTAACACCAGAGTAAAGATGCTAGTGACGTTCATACTTTAAAGTGCAGTGATCGTGAGCGCACACGTAATGATCAGCAAACAGTAATAGATACGTCACTTCCGCTTTGTCGCTCACCGGCGATTGGAGGCAGAAGCGCTTTGCCTCGTTTAAAACTGATTGTCATTTATTGCTGGAAATTGATATTTGCCTCTGTGTGACGTGGCTTAGGGGCTTTACATTGCTTGTTGGTATAATTTGAGTGATAGATTTTTATTTTTTATTATTATTTTTTAGAAGAGCATTTTGATTAGAATCCAAATCAGTGACGCACACGTTTGATTGAATTGCTCGACATCACTTCAGTATCATATCAATTAAGAGAATCGAGTTACTTGTTTTTGTTCCCCCGCTGAGTACATTCGGGCGATATGATCAACACTACGAAAGTTTTTGCGGAACCAATGGGGCTGGTGAGCAATTTTCACACC